CATAGTCTCTTTTAAAAGTCTCAACTGTGGGTGGGCTTCTGTAAAATCCAAAACAAGTACTGTCTTATTTCAAAGGGAAGAATCGGGCACACCTAAGCAAAACCAAAGTCCAGCAAATAGCTCAAGGCTGGACATCTGGGATTCACTCACAATCTTCTGGCCGCTCCACTTCTCTGACCCTGCCATCCATAGCACACACAGCTCATCTCACAGACCCAGGCCAGCTCCATTCCACACCTACTGCTGTCCTTGGTGGTCGTCCCATGGTCCCGGCATCTCCAAAACCTGGGGTCTCCACTGATACTGAGGCTACACCTTCACCAGTGGCCTCTTCTTGCCTCTTGGGGTGCAAAGCCTCAGATTCTCTCCATGACCCCTTCAATCCTGGGGTCTTTGCTGCAACTGAAGCTGCACTTTCACCTATGGCCTTTCCTGGCCTCTCAGAGTGCCAAGCCTCAGCTGCTCTCTGTGACTCCCTTCATGCTTTCAACACCAGAGCCATGCGGGAGACTCTTACACATTACCAAGTCCTGCTTCCAGCTTGAAATAGAGGTGCAGGTCCCCTCCATGTGCTGACCCTGAGGAAATACCTCCCAGAAGACTCTATCACAGTGATGATGATCTCTTGTTACTTACAGCTGATTTTTCAGCCCCAGCTAACCAGCATCAATTGTCCCAGTAAAGCAAAGGTTTTGCTTCAGGTTCTGGTCTCTTCTTAATCACAGCTGATTCTTCAGCCCCAGCCAACCAGAACCCACAGATTCTCAATTCAAAATACCACACAAACAGCCCTGGTAGTTCTGCTTCCCTTTGAAGCTTCACAAGCCAGGCCTCCATTGTTTACAACTCTTCCAACATAACCTTTCCAAGTTCCAAACTCTGAGCACGCAATGGCTTTTCCAGCCCAAAGTTCCAAACACTTCCACAGTCCTCCCAAAAACACCAAGGTCAGGTCTGTCACAACAATACCCCACTCCTAGTACCAATTACTGTCTTAGTTTGTTTCTCCATTGCTGTGACAAAACACTCTGACCAATACCAACTTGGGGAAGAAAGGGTTTATTCAGCTTACATCTCCCAGGTTGCAGTTCATCAGGGAGCCCAAGGTAGGAACTCAGACTTCCACAGTCCTCCCAAAAACACCAAGGTCAGGTCTGTCACAACAATACCCCACTCCTAGTACCAATTACTGTCTTAGTTTGTTTCTCCATTGCTGTGACAAAACACTCTGACCAATACCAACTTGGGGAAGAAAGGGTTTATTCAGCTTACATCTCCCAGGTTGCAGTTCATCAGGGAGCCCAAGGTAGGAACTCAGGGCAGGAACATGGAGACAGGAGCTGGAGCACAGGCCATGGAGGAACGCTGCTTACTGGCTTGCTCTCTGGCCCCTGCTCAGACTGCTTTCTTTTATAACACAGGCCCACCTCAGGGGTGGCACCACCCACAGTGGGCTGGGCCCTCCCACATCACGTAACAATCAAGAAAATGCCCCTCAGACATGGCCACAGGCCAGTCCAATAGAGGCAATTTCCCAATTGAGGCTCCCTCAATCCAGGTGTGTCAAGTTGACACTAAAGCTATCCAGCACAGGATCAGAGGTGGCAGCAACAGGACAGATGAACTCAGCAGCAGAGTAAAGGGCAAGAGAGCAGAAAAGCAAAAAGCTTTCCTGATCACATGTCCCTTTATCTGGGCCACTGCCAGAAAGTGCCATCCACACTCAGGGTGGGTCTTCCCACATCAGTTAAGGCAGTCAACACAACCCCATCCAGACAGGGTCATGGGTCAGCCTGAGGTAGATAAGTCTTCACTGGGGCTCTCTCTCCTAGGTGATTCTAGGTTGTGTCAAGTTCACAGTTAAAGCTGACCATCACATGCTACCCCTGGCCAGCTCGATACACAAGCACATTACTTTAAAATCATAACCTTTTGGGGCTGGAGAGATGGCTCAGTGGTTAAGAACACTGTTTGTTCTTGCAGAAGACCCGGATTTGAATCCCAGCACCCACATGGAAGCTAACAACTATCTGTAACTCCAGTCCCAGGGATTCCGACAGCCTCTTCTGACATCCAAGGGCATTGCATGACATGGGTGCAGGCCATACATGCATACATATAAAATAAAAATAATAAGTAAAAAAGTTTTAAAATCATAACCATTCACTGCTCATGTTTATTTAATAAAGTACACTACAGTCCAGCTTTTACAAAAGTTCCCAAAGTGCTAAAAAAATCCCAAGTCCAAAGTCTCTTTAAAAGTAAGATCCTGGGATGGGCATCGTGGCACACACTTTAATCCCAGCACTCAGGAGGCAGAGGCGGGTGGAGCTCTGTGTTTGAGGCCAGCCTGGTCTACAAAGGGCCAGGTGTGGCTATACAGGGAGACCCTGTCTCCAAAAAAAAAAAAAAACAATAAGAAAGCGAGCCCCTGTAAAATAAAAGTTACATATTTTCAACACCTTACAGCACAGCAAAAAAAAGTCATTATTCCAAAAGGGAATGAGCAATCATAGCAAAGTAAAATCAAATTCAGCAAAGAAGCACCAAACCCTGCAGCTTCGATGACCAGTGTCTGGAGCTTAGGATGTCATCTTCTGGTCTCCAAAGAGCCCAGAGTGCACAGTCCCAGAAGAGTGCCTAGTCCTGTAACATCTTATAATGGGAATACACCACTGATATCATCTCAATAGATGTCACAAGGAAGAAAACACAAATATCTGTTTAGTGTGTGCAGAAGCATATTCTTTTTAAATTTTTTTGTTATTTTTTTTTAATTAAATCTTTTAAAAAATGTGTTTTGCCTGCATGTAAGTGTACCTGTGAGTGCAATGCCAGAGGAGGCCAGAAGAGGGTGTTGAATCCTCTGAAACTGGAGTTACAGATGGTTATTAGCTGCCATGTGGGAGCTGGGATTCAAACTGGGGTCCTATAAAGAGCAGTCAGTCCTCTTAACCACTGAGCCATCTCTCCAGGTCCACAATCTTATATATCTTCACAAAAAAGGACATAAGCATTCACATAATTATAATCTTCACTTTTGTGGCTCGTCACTTGGCCATAGGTAGTATTTGTACTATCCATTCTGTGTTTCCCCCACACTTATCAAGCACTTCATCAGGCCTTGTTCTTTACCTGGAGGGATGACCCACACCTTCATTCTTGAAGAGTCTGGGCTATTTATTATCCTGCCTAGATTGGATTGTTGTAGTTTCCCATTGCCCTTAATCACAGGACATGGTCACACCAAGAGACACCCTAAAGATCTCCTGAACTCCAGATATAGTCTTACTTACTTCCATCATGGAGAAGCAGGGGGTACAGAAGTGTGGCAAATCAAGGCAATGAAGAAGTTAGGGAAGCCCAGGTCTCCTGTCCTCAGCCACACGTACATAGTATCTACAACCACAGCGCACTGCAGATAGACTGAAGCTGCCGTCACACAGACCAGATATGGATAAGGAAAATCCATCTACAAGGGAGTAAAAGAAACATATTGTGATGGTTAATATTGCCAACATGACAGGCTCTAGAATCACCTAGGGGACAAACCTCTAGGTGTATTGTGAGGAAATGTCTAGATTGAGATGGGAAGACCCATTCCAAATACGGGCAGCATCATTCCACTGGTTGGGTCCTGAAAGAATAAAAAGGAGAAAACAAGTGGGGGAAGGAGCACTCACCTGGAAGGAGCACTCACCTGGAAGGAGCACTCACCTGGAAGGAGCACTCACCTCTCCTTTGCTTCCTGACTGCAGATGCGGTGTCACCAGAGGCCTCGCTGCTGTCATGACAAACTGTAACTACTTGAACTGTAAGCCAAAATAAATCCTTCCTCCCTTAAGGTCCATTGTGGAAGAGGAGGCAGAAAGATTTAAGAACAAGGGAGGAGGTGCAGGACCATACAGCAATGGTCCTACGGGCACCTGGGACACTTCTCAAACAAACCTACAGCAATGGTGTCAGCATGCACAAGATACATGTGAATTTACGCAGACAAAAACCCAGTATAAAACTGTGGAGATGAACAGCAGGCCCCAATCTTAGTCAAAGAATTATTGGCAGATGATTACTACTGAGTGAAGAAGAGCTGATCTTCTTAAAGAGAGGGACTCTTGATAGGATGACTAAATCCCAGTGGATGAACTTGCACTGAGGGAAATCTGGGGGTGCTAACCTTACATGATAGGCCTTAACACAAATGATAGAATGTATGAACTCGGGGTGGGAGGGGGCTGGCTACGAGAGGGTGCCAAAGGGGAAGAGAGTATAAAGATGATTTTATGTATGAAATACACAAAAAATCAATAAAAATTTTTTTTAAAAAAGAGGGCCAGGCGTGGTGGTGCACACCTTTAATTCCAGCACTTGGGAGGCAGAATCAGGTGGATCTCTGTGAGTTTGACGCCAGCCTGGTCTACAGAGCGAGTTCCAGACCAGCTGGGGCTACAGGGAGATGCTGTCTCAAAAAGACCAGAAAAAAAAATTTTTTTAAAAAGAAGCTCTAGTGAAGTATTTGATCAGGTGACTAACAGCACTTGAGCCTGAAATATCAAGAAAGACTGAGAGAAAGGAGGAGCTTACTGTTACCCAAGAGAGAGCTACTATAGTTATTTTATTCTCAGAAAAAACTGAAAGCACTACTACAGTAAGAGGCTAAAGGAACATTTTCTCACAAAAGCACAAAAGTTCTAAACACATTTTAAGCTTAGTGACAGAATCTCAAAGCTCAAACCAAAATCTTACCAGAGTAGAAGGAGGAATTGACAAATCCACGAAGTAAAAGAATACAGTTTTCCCAAGGATATAATGAACATTTACAAAAAATGGATCACATACCAAAGCTCAACAAATCCAAAGGTTTCGTACAATAAAAATCAATTTCTTGAACTCAGTTTAATAAAAATAGAAATCAGCAGCAAAAAGCAAGTCTAAAATGTTCATATGATTCAAAAAAATAAGCAATAGAACTCATGGGTCAAAAAACTCAAAAATAATGATTTAAGATTAAGCAATACTTTTGTGGTGCTGGGGGTTGAAATGGAGAATAATACTCATTAACATCTACTCTGCATACATTCTCCTCACTTGTCTAAAGACTTCTTCCCCCTCATAGTCTCCTTTATAATTAAATTTTTTCATTTATTATTATTTTATGTGTATGAGTGTGTTGTCTGCCTGTGTGTAAATGCACCCATGTCTTGAAATGCCTGTGGAGGTCAGAAGACATCAGATTCCCCTGGAACTGGAGTTACAGACAGTCGTTAGCCACCATGTGAGTGCTGGAAATCGAACCTGGGTCCTCTGCAAGAGCAGCCAGTGTTCTTAACCCCTGAACCTTCTCTCCAGTCTCTCCCCTTACAATGTAATGACATACCCCAAAGGCATATAAAAGTTAAAATCTAGAATCCATGGATAAGAAAAAATGCAGTATTTGTCTTTCTGAGTCTGGGTAACTTTACCTAACTTCTAAGTTCCAACCATGCTCCTGAAAATGTCATTTATTAAATTTAACTTTTAAATTTGTTTTATGTGTATGAATGCTTTGTCTACATGTATGTAAGTGCACCCATCTTGTGCAATGCCCAGGGAGGCCAGAAAAAGATGCTGGATACCCTGGAACTGGAGTTGAGGACAGGGGTTAACTGTATGGGTGCTGGGAACTGAATCCAGGTCCTCTGTAAGAGCAGCCAGTGTTCTTATCCTGAGCCATCTCTCCAGCCCTCATTATGAAATTTCTTCATCCAGTTATCTACTAATGGACATCTAGGCTAGTTCTGTAAGGGATAAAGTCCTTAATAAGCACACAGTCACTAAAGAATAACAAAGATGGCACACTTCCTGCCTTGTCATGGGCCAGCAGAAAGGCCTCACTTCTTAAGTCCAACAAGCCCCCTTCAACTGACATGCTTAGAGTCACAGAGCCCTGAGCACGTCTCAGCTTGGGACTGTGACCTGCCAGCAGCCCCCTTGTTCAAGTTGATCAATGCAAAATTAGGGGAGGGGAAATTGCCAAAGCCTTTAGAAGGCCTAAGCCCTCCTGGGGCCTTTGGAGTCTGTTTCTGGGTCCCCTCTACACTTGTGGAGAACTTTGTTTCTTTTCTTATGAATGTACGTATATGTGGTTCTTTATGTGTATGGATGTGACTCTTTTGCCTGCTGCTCTCTGCTGGTCCAAGATTTTCCTGTCTGATAATGTGGCCACGTTATGGCCACTACAACAGTTCCATCTCCTAGCGGTTGTGTCAGTGCAGCAGTGAACACAGTTGTTCAGGCATCTCTGTGGTAGATGAACAGTCCCTTGGGGATGTGCCTAGCAGTGGGAGAGCTACATCACATAGTAGTTCCATTCTTAGGGTTTTTTTGTTTTTTTTTGGTCTTTTTGAGACAGGGTCTCCCTGTAGCCCCAGCTGGCCTGGAAACTCGCTATGTAGACCAGGCTGGCCTCGAACTCACAGAGATCCACCTGCCTCTACCTCTCTAGTGCTGGGACTAAAGGTGTGCGCCACCACGTCTGGCAGGGTTTTCTTTATTTTTTATGTGTATGTTTTGTCCACGTGTGTCTATGAACCACCTATATGCAATTCCTGCAGAGGCCAGAGGAGGGTGTAACTCTGGAACTAGAGTTACAGATGGTTGTGATCTGCCATGTGGGTTCTTAAAACCAAATGCACTTAAATCACTAAGCTTTCTGTTCAGCTACATTTTTAGTTTTGTTCGTTTAGAAACCTCCATACAGATGTCCATAGTGGCGAGACCAGTTTGTACCCTCACCCACAGTGAATGAGTTTTCCAACTTCCTCACATTCTCACCAGCAATTTTTGTTTGCTTTTTGAGACGGGATCTCACGATACAACCCTGGCTGGCCTGGAATTCGATATGCAAATCAGGCTGGCCACAAACTTACAGAGATCCACCTGCCTCTGCCTCCCATGCGCCGCCTCACTCTGACTTTCTTCTTGATGTTAGCCATTCTGAGTGAGGGGAGGATCTCAATCTACATTTCCAATGCAATTAATTTATATTTCATTGGTAGCTAAGGATTTTGAACACTCAAAAATGTTTACTGACCATTTGTAGTCCTTCTTTTGAGAACCATATGGCTAGTTTTTTAGTCTATTTTCTGATTGGAAGACTTACGGGTTAGGTGTCTAATTTTTGCAGTGCTTTATATAATCTACATACTAACCCCGTCTAATGTATAGCCAGCAATGATTTCCTCCCATCCTGTAGGAAGTCTCTTTAATAGTTTCCTTTGATAGGCAACTTTTTAAAAATATTATTTTTATTTTATGTGTATGCATGTATTGCCTGCATGTAGGTTAAGTGCACCTGTGTCGTGAAATGCCCGCAGAGGTCAGAAGAGGCTGTCAGATCCCCTGGGACTGGAGTTATGGACAGTTGTTAGCTGCCATGTGGGTGATGGGATTCAAAACCCAGTCTTCTGCAAGAACAGTCAATGTTCTTAACCGCTGAGCCATCTCTCCAGCCCCACAACTTTTTAAAAAATATTTATTTATTTATTATTCATTTATTGATCTTTTTGAGACAGGGTCTCCCTGTAGACCCAGCTGGCCTGGATTCACTATGGAGACCAGGCTGGCCTCAAACTCAGAGATCCACCTGCCTCTGCCTCCCGAGTGCTGGGATTAAAGGTGTGCGCCACCACGCCCAGCAAATTTTTTATTTTTAAAAAAATATTTTAGTGATGGGGCTGGAGAGCTGGCTCAATGGGTAAGAGCACTGACTGCTCTTGCAAAGGACCCGGGTTCAATTCCCAGAACCTACATGGCGGCTACAAACCGACCTTAACTCCAGTTCCAGGGGAATCTGAAGCCCTCTTCTGATCTCCGCGGCATTGCACGACACGGGTGCATTCACTTACATGCAGGCAGTAAGTTGAAGTTCTTGATCCATTTTGAATTATTTTTTGTGCAGGATGAAAGATGTGGATCAAAAATCATTCTCCGCGTGTGGAACTCCAGTGCTCCTAGTATCGTTTACTGACTCTTTTTTGTTACGTTTTGGACACTTCTCAAAACTTAGGAGGCTGTGGCTGTGGCGTTTCTGTCCTCTCATTCTTCCACTGTACACACCCCTGGTTTTGCTATTATAGCTCTGGAATGAAATTCGCGATCAGGTATTTCATGTCTCCAGCACTGTTCTCTGCTTAAGATTGCTTTGGCTACTTGGGGGGCCGTTCGTGCTTCTCTACGAACTTAAGGATGTCTTTCCTAGCTCTCTGAGGAACGTCTTTGACTCTTGGTGGGCACCACGCTGTATCTGTCACTTTTGGCAGTGATTTTCACAGCATCAAGTCTGGATCAGTGAGCATGGGAGGTCTTTCTATCTTGTGTTGTCTAGAGCTTTCAGTAGTCTCTGATATGCTAGGCTTACTCCTAGGTGTTTTTAAACTACTGTAAATGAGTTTCCCCCCAAGTTTCTTTTTCAGCAAGTTCATTATCTGTTTA